AGTGTTAAGGTGTTGTTGAGGTTAGAGTTTTTAACTCAAAATAAATACATACATGAGATATTCGATACAAATGATAATTTTCATAATGGAAGAAAAAACACGTACATGAGATATTAGTCCATACAATGATTTGAGAACATAAATATATATATAACTTATGTACATAAAGACAATTTCTATTTTCGTGTATTTTAATTACTAACATATGCATGCAAATCTTTCGCAAAACTTTTTTATAGGACTCTCACTTGGAGGAATGTTGTATTTCTCATTATTGAATGAAACACAAAGGGTTTTGCAAGGGTTGTCGCATATTGCTGAAATCACTTTTTTGATGCTTTCACACACTGATTTATGACATAATCTCTTACACATGTATCTATTGTGTTTGGAAAGAGATACATGTGCTGAAAACATCATTGTAAATAAAACTACAATCAATAAAAACATTGCAAATTTTATATGACATTTTAGTTGCCACAAAGCAAGTTTTATTCCACAAAACAAGTGTAATCAACAACCAATTAAAAGAAAAAGATAAAGCATTGGCTTATTCAACTTGTTTTATTCTACCAATACTTGTGATTGCTCCTCGGAATAAGTATCATGGTTACTGCTCTATCAGGCACTGCTCTTTCAGCTCTCACCAAGTAAGTGTTCTTTGGGCTCCAATGGTTCTTTGGGAGCCAATGGTTCTTCAAGCTCATCATCACTAAACTCTGGTTGAAACACATATTAATCAAGAGGTTTTTCCACGTCAATGGCTGACTGCGTGCCTCATCCGAAATAGGGGGTCCTCCTAAAGATAGGCTGTCCCAATACCAGGCTCTAGTTACAGGAGAAAATATCAATCCTCTTGCACTTGAAGGCTGGCATAAAAGGACTCTAAAATTACTCATTCTCAAGTCGGCAAGCTCATTGACAAAGGCCAAGTCTCGGGATACGTCTCCCAAGACAAACATAACAACTGAATCAGGATGGTTAAGTAACCGCCAGGCATACAAGTCCACAGAAATGCTTTTCATTCTCTGAGATGCATTTCCTGAAACCACAT